CAGCTCAGTCTCCTCTTCCAAGTCGGTGCGGCCATCTATTTCTTTGTAGAGATATTTCCCAACGACAAGTCGCTAGTGATCCCAACGATGTTGGTGTTTTTTGCCGGGGTCATAAAGTATGCGGAGAGGTTAATAGCACTTTATCAGCCTCTCGAGGGTAAAGGAATTGATGCTCTCATAGCGCAAGTCTTCTAATGCATATAACAAGTTGGATATATACCTCATCGTTCTAGGGGATGGATATTCTGATAAAGAAGAAGCGGAGCTTGCCGAGAGCATTACGGTGAAACATGCTTACTACTTCTTTCAGTTATGTAAGGTCTTCATCGGAGATCTCATGTTCACACATCAACAATGCGAAATGAGCCACGAATATTCCCGCAAAGTTGCAGCGGTGGATGTGTTGAGGTGATATTAGTCGAGCTCCATTTCATGTATGATATGCTCCACTCAAAAGCATTGGCTATATATTCCAAGTGGAGCTACATGTTCCGCTTCATAGCTTTAACTAACGTCGCGATGGCTTTCATCCTATTCAATCGCTTGAAGTAGCATCGGCTCCCCAAATTCGTTGTGGAAATTACTTATTCCCTTCTTTTCAAAGGAATTGCTCTTGATGTGATAGCTCTATTCATGCTCGTTTTCTCCAATTGAACTATTGCTAGAATCAAGTGCCACAATTCATTTCTCCACAAGATGGTATCCACCACGGATCACCAAAGGAAGCCCGGATTCACCACATGTGAAGCAGAGCCTAAACACAATGTTACTTATGCGGCCTTAGATACACCATATTATCTCGAAGATGGTTAGAATCCTCTCTACTTGCAACCTTTTATCCGAGTGCTTTCGAGAGAGTCTGAGAAAGATGTATAAGCTTGATCAGCACTAAGGCATCGTTGCTTTTTCTACTATCTGTAGTTTTCCATTTCATATGGCTGAGAAGATTATCTCTTGTTTCCATCAAAATGAGATTGATACGCTCTGTGGTGGATGGAGGAACAGTAAATAGATGATTGGGAATTTGAAGTATGTGTCCAAGAATCTATAAAAAAGCTATGGATCTTTATCTTTAAGGAGGTGAGATATAAATCCAACGATGCGAATGATCCGACAGAGGTGAGGAAGATATTTGAGGCTAGAGGTGATCCGTTTCTCGAGAGTAGACTGTCGAGGGGGGGATTGACAGCGGCAATCTTTTAGTGTAAGTCACGGAGGCTAATTATGATAGCAGTATTATAATGTGGCATGTTGCTATTGAAATGGGCAAAAGAACACTACAAGTGCCATAACTTGTGTACGGCGCTCACTTTAGTGCCATAACTTTTTTTTGGATTACTTTAGTGCTAAAATTTTTGAAAAACGATCACTTAAGTGCCAACTCCGGTGCCTTACACAATTTTTCGCCGGAAATCTGACGTGGCATTTTTTTTATTAATTTTTGAAGCTGACGTGGCTCGTCGGAGTCTCGCCGGAGATTGGCACTTAAGTGATCGTTTTTAAAAAATTTTAACACTTAAATGATCGTTTTTCAACAATTTTAGCACTTAAGTGATCGTTTTTCAAAAATTTTAGCACTGAAGTGATCCAAAAAAAAGTTATGACAATTAAGTGATCGTTTTTCCTCCGACTTGGCACCAAAGTGATCCGAAAAAAAGTTATGGCACCAAAGTGAGCGCCGTACACAAGTTATGGCACTTATAGTGTCCTTTTGCCTATTGAAATGTGGTACAATAAAGAGAAACAATTTATGAGCCTAATAGCTAGAATTGACGAAATGGAATTTAGCAAGATCCAATCTGACTACATGTTGTATCTTTTAATTAATCAGCCTAATGTGGTGTCCGCTACGGGGGGTGTTGCCCAAATGGCATCAGCGGAGACGTTGCAAGAGCTCTATATCCTCATCGATAGGGATGCGTTAATAAATGTGGAGGGGTTAATGCAAGAAATTATTTGAGGCTCATTTTGGAACCTTCAGTTTGAGATCCCCCGCTCAACGAGGTGATCAATTTGGCCCAAAAGATGGAAAGCCTCGAGGAAACGAAGTGGAAGGTGATGAACGGGGTGTGGGTTGAGATGCTATCCTATGCAGCAATTCACATTAAGGGCGAGGTACATGTGCAGGTACTTTGCAATGGTGTAGAGTTTCTTTGCCTTTGCTTGGCTATCGATGGCTCTTTTCGGTTGTATCTACGGGCTGAATGGGGCTAGTATTGTGAATACTGCGATGACATATTTCATCACTATCAAAGTCTTCTATTTCCATGATCTTCTTGATCACAAGCCTTCAATAGCGTATACGCGATTCAGTACGGCACTGACAATTCAACCCATTCGTATTTTTTTGTATGTTTACGAGTAAATTGAAGTGAATGTTTGTTGTATCCACAACCCGAATGGGGCTTGTATGAATACTCGGATGACATGTTTCGACACTAACAAAGTCTTCTATTTCCATAATCTTTTAGATCACAAGCCTTCACTAGCGTATATACGATTCTGTACGGCACTCACGATTGAATCCATCCATTTTTTGTGCTTGTGTGCGTTTACGATTAAAATGATGTGAATCTTTGTTGTATTCTGGTACGAAAGATGCATTTCGATAGCTACGTAATAATTGATATGAGATTTAGCAGAATATTCAATTTTTATGTTTGTGACTTATGTTTACCTGTAATCCCTATGCTAATAAAGTAATGGATGCCCTGTCAGAACGCAGTGAATATTGCCAGACAAATCTGATCAATTGTTCTGGACAATAAACATCAGACCAAAACATGCTTAAATTTTGAGTCCAAGGAAAGGACTTTTCTCGACCAAATAGACATCTCGAACATCTCAAATCTTACTCTTTCCTTTTGGATGAGGGATGTTGAGTGAGAATGTAATGACTTCTAAACTTTTTAGTGTCTATTTATCTTTAACTGAATCCGATGATATGAGGTGAATTTAAATGAGCTTATATATCGCGAACTTAGTAAGCTCTCCCTTAGGAAATTGGTTGTCACTGGCAGGATTTGATGAACGAGGAACCATGAAAGATAAAGCATTCTTTAAAGGAATCTTTGAAGTTTGGGTTAGGAGTTCTCTGCCACTTCTTGATGCCATGCACGTTAGGGTCAATCAATGAACAAACCTCTTGGTGCCATTTTTTATTGCTCCATACGATAGTATGTTCGACATTTTAAGGCCAAAGTCAGGTCGAAACTCAGGTAGTCATAGATGGAATTGCAAAGTAGAATTGAGATAGACCGATTTGACAATAAAACATCAACCCGGCACAAAGCAATAAGCATTCTCTATTCATAAGATATTTCTCTTCTACCATTTGATACATGAGATACATTGCTTGTGTTCATTGGTTCGCCACTCTTTACATTTTATTGTAAAGCAAGGAATCATCTCAACTTTTAAATTGTGTCACGAGTTTGAGCCATGTACGAAATCTTTAGAGGATTTTCTGGTTTGTTCAAAATCAGGTGTGCCCATTAATCCAAAGCGAGTATGGATTCTCTTGGGCCTTGTTCTTGGAGGTTTGACCTAGAAAGGGTAATATGAGAAAAAGCTCCACTGGACCATGCCACTACAGGACAAAACAAGGGGCACACATATTATATAAATATTTATGTTTATTTTATGGGGGTAGAAAAGTCTTTGTATAAAAAGCTAGGGTTTTGCTTTTCTTCCTCTCTCCCGCTATCGAAGACAGATAGGGCACACCCGGTGAGTCTTCGTTGGCGGAACCATCACAGCATGTATATATACATTCCCCACTATTCCTCCCGTATATTTTTTTTTGTATTTAAAATTATATTAGGAGGAGCAATAAGTAAAACCATGTTATTTAGTTTCATTTGGGATTTGTGGAACATATGAAATATTCGAGGTTTCGTCATATTGAGCCTCTTGCTTCAGGTCTTTCTCATTCTATTTGCACTCCTTAGAAAGAAAATAACGAACCACCGCATAATTTTTCTATTGTGGTAGGCCTATTTGGTGGCTAACTGGATAGCCGCGTTCGCAATCGAGTTCGTCTTTCATAACTCGTGCACTCGAAGTAGACGGAGCACTTCAGACATTTTTGGCTTCAATTCTCTTGTTACACCTTGGCACTCCAAACACCATCACTGCCTTCTCTCTGGAGGATAGTTCGCTTTGGAGAAGGTCCCTGCTCAGTCTCGTCTTTCAAGTTGGTGCTACCATCTATGTCTTTGTGCAGATATTTCCCAACAACTCGCTGTTGATTCCAATGATGTTGGTGTTTCTTGCCGGGGTCATAAAAAATGTAGAGAGGTTACTAGTACTTCATCTATCGAGCTTCTCGAAGCTTAGGGAATCGATGCTCTCACAGCACAAATCTTTTCATGCAGATAATAAGTTAGTTAAAGAACTCAATGTTCTACGAGATGGACAATCTTACGAAGAAAAAGCAGAGTTTGTCGAGAGTATTGTGGTGAAGCATGCTCACTACTTTCTTTAAATCTTTACGCGTTCATTGGATATCTCATGTTCACATGTCAACAACGCGAAATGACCCGTGGATATTTCTGCAAAGTATCTATAATGGATGCGTTGAGGGAGATATTGGGCGATCTCCATTTCATGTATGAGATGCTCCACAAAAAAGCGTTGGCAATACGTTCGGAATGGCCCCAGAATATTTATGTCCTGATGCGGGGACATCTATTAAAGCTTCTTTAAGAACCGGCTAAAGAACATCAAGCGCCGTATTAAGAGTACTAAGAGTACCAAGAGTACCAAGACTTGATGAACTAAGACAAAGCGTCCTCACTTGGAACATATCAATAGTTTGAAGCATATCATCACTGTCATCTAATATAATCCTTTCGTCATCGATCCGTGAAACCCCTGACACTACACGATTACTTACATCGCGCATTTCAACTAGCGAATTTTTACGAAACGTAGTTAGTGCAAAACTCCTGTATTAACGCTACAAGTAAGCTGTTGAACTGCAAAAAACCACCAGAAACTTGCACAGAAAACACTGAACTGGAGAGACTAATTTCATTGATATTTTACAGACCTGAAGACGGAAAGCTACTCTTAAAGGCTAATTCCTAGACTCTGTCAAAGAACAACATATCGCTACTTGACCAAGTGACAAGGTGCTTACAAGCCTTATTTACAAAGTACATGTCTAAGCACACTTGTCCATAGCAAACATTACCTTACATTATAGCCTTATTGGTCCAAAGTTGCTGGAGAAACGCTCGAGCTGAGACCAGATAAGGCTTCCGAGCGACAACCTCGGCTTTTCATCCCCACTTCTGCTAATGAGGCCTGCCGACAATGGACCCTGAGGAGAACTCACTCCCGAGGACTTGTTCACGATCGAGACCGAACCCCCGATCTCTTTCCTCACCAGTTCCACTGTGCTCAGGTTCACGTCGTTCCCGGAAGCTTCGGTCACATAGAACGAACCGATGGCCCGCTCTCCGCAGATCCCTACCTCGGCCCGCGTTATCGATAGGCCATTCTCGCGGAACACCCTGGTCACGTCGGAGAGCAGGCCCGGCCGGTTTTGAGTGCTCACTTCTAACCTCAATCCCTGCAAAAGAAACGAAACAAGAAATCAGGATGCAATCCACATGAGACATACATGAGAAAGAAGAGTTGTTTGGGACATACATGTGACGCTCTGCGCTCGACGGCAGCCAGGAGGCATTGAGCGAGTTTGCGCTTCTCGGTCTACGAATCCAAGGTGCATCCATCCTGATGCCTTATGAAATACTCCTGTATGACACCCGCAAAGCATACAATCTTTTCGTTAGCCAAAACTGTCAAAGGCAGATACTCATACGATGCTAAAATTCAACCTGTAGCCACATTAGTAACTTATGACCTTAGGATAATATCATAAAAGAAGACAACGACCCACTTCTGCCGAAATTGCAGAATTTATAGATCTTATTGAACTCGATACGTCTGAAACCAATGAACAGATTTTCCAAAACCAGCTTGACTAGGAACCCCATCACATCAACAAGTGAGTCTCACCCTATTTTGACGATATCATTTCAAATAATTCGTATCACAAGTACCTTTCTCTGCCTAACATTTTAAACATTCAAACCCTTAACTCAGTTACACATTGACATGGTGCAAACCCGCCTTATTTTCTAGAGTCATTTACGATCCAACAATCTCCCATGTGTATATAAATATTACAAACATTATCCCATTTGTGCACGACAAATTGAACATTCGAGAATTTCAGGATTGGCATCAAATAGGATTAGAATTGAAGTATACCCAACATATACTTCTCTCTCGAAGTAATAACTTAAAGCTTTTTGAGGTTTGATTTTAGCTTAAAATACCTGGTTAGCCAAAGAGCCCTCCGAGTTAACTGATGCATGGAACACAACATACTGCATGTCCGTTAGGACGCACACGGTGTCGAACAACAGCTTCGGCCTGTCCCTGCTCCACACGTACACCACCGAGTAACCTTTGTCTTTCCAACTCTCTATCAACACGTGAGGCCTCTCACACCCATTCCTATGCTCGTTCCAGCCTCAGGTGCTGCCACCCTTGGAACCGCTGCTCCGGCAGCAACGGCACTGCTCGTAGTCTTTGTCGGCAAACATCAGCTGGTGGAGTCGCCGTTTAGTGTGCATCCGCCCAGCCACGGGTGCCATCAGCCTCACGCTCCTCCTCTCCCCCTCGGCGTGGTGTGCCTCGACCACATTCTCCTGCTGCTCCTCTATCTGGGCCAGGGGCTCCGGGTCCGTGATCGGCCCACCCTTCACCCCGTCCTCCACATAGAATATGTATATGCACGCGGCTCGTGTGTGGTGGGTCCACGCCACTACCGTGGCGATGTGGCATGCCAGCTCAGCCAGGACTGCCGACATTTCGGAAAGTAACCCTAGTCGGTCTGTCCCCGTCATCTCTAGTACCGTGTGCTCGGAGGACACGTGGCGAGGTCCGAAATGTTTCCTTTGCTATGATCCTTGTATTTCCTTGGAGAGACCCCCTCTCCTCGTCGCACATAAAGCCTGTCAAATGTCGCATTCATTTAGTTATTACAAGAGAATCACCCTAAATTCCACTAAACAGCACATAGCGAAAGCAAGTACAAAAAATTTCGGGGTAAGTACAGCGCAAGTGCCATAACTTTTGTACGGAGGACATTTAAGTGCCATAACTTTTTTTTGGCTCACTTGAGTGTCATAACTTTTTAAAAAAAGATCACGACGAACGGAGGCCATAGAATGATTCACCGACACCCCCTCTTCAAGCTGGTGGTGCTCGGCTCGCCAGGAAGGTCACCGTTCGACCGGAAAAGCCGCGGTTTCAGGCCCTCACGACTAGCTTGTCAGAGGGGTTGGTCGTGAAGGCCTGAAACAGCGGTTTTTCCAGCCAAACGGTGACCTTCCCGGCAAGGCGAGCACCACCAGCTTGAAGAGGGGGTGTCGGTGAATCATTCTCTAGCCTCCGTTCGTCTCGAAATTTCCGTTTTAGCCTCCGTTGACGAAGGTAAAAATGCTTCGTAGTCACACAAATCTGTTCGATAAATTGTGTGACTACGAAGCATTTTTACTTTCGTCAACGGAGGCTAAAACAGAAATTTCGAGACGAACGGAGGCTATGAAATGATTCATCGACAGCCCCTCTTCAAGCTGGTGGTGCTCGCCTCCCCGGAAAGGTCATGGTTCGGCCGGAAAAGCCGCGGTTTCGGGACCTCATGACCAACTCGTAAGTGGCACTTAAGTGATCTTTTTTTTGAAAGTTATGGCACTCAAGTGAGCCAAAAAAAAGTTATGGCACTTAAGTGTCCTCCGTACAAAAGTTATGGCACTTGCGCTGTACTTACCCCAAAAATTTCTAACCTCAAACTTGTGCAAAATGAATTCCATGAAAATATCGTCTATCATAAGTTGAATGATTGCCATATATTAGAATATAATGAACAATAACAGACTTTACTAAGCTTGACATAACAAATACACTATCCACTAAAAGCGTAAGACCTAAACCTCTTATTTAGATAGACCTTGTCGGCCACTAGCCGAACAAACAGAAGTGGTGGCAAAGCGCGAACAAGGGCCAAGATGAAAGGAACCCCAAAAGGTTGTCCGCTTTCAACCCGTATAAATTGAGGAGAATCCTCAAAAGAAAAACAAGTCAAGGCTAGGTACACTTTCGTGCCTACACTCTAGACATGAGCTTAAATTATTCTTATCCTAAAATTATTCTAACATCCAACATTTACAAGCACTAATTATTCTAGGGTGTCCCCAAAATATACAACTTAAAAACCTAATCCTTCCTCTTCAAATGAATTTTTAGTGTCTGATCAGGCTATACTTGGTGGTCAGAACCCTAACGAGCGGACCCGATAGAACTTTTAAATCAATCAATGTCTGATAGATCATAGATAAAGTGGGTAAAGAGAAAAATAAGAAGAGCAAATTAAAGATTGATTATGATATAATAATACCTGTTGAATGTAAAGGATGAGGCTCTCGTCGGTCAGCTTGTGCCGGAGCTGGTCGTTGGTCACGTAGAACACTGCACGCCATGCAAAATCAAAGCCATTAGAAAATCGAGCTTCATCGATCAAACATCTAATTGACGAATTCGCAATCTTTGTGGGCACGCACAGCTAATAATTTACTCATATATCAATCTATTTTGCCAAAAAAATAATAATAAAATACGAAGTCGGTGTCAATGACGTCATAAAAAAGATGGGTGGGTCTGGTGGGGAGTGTTACCGACCGTCCATGAACCATAAGCCGTCCGAGGAGATATATGACTTGGAGATGACGAGGTCGAGATCTGTCAAGACCTGGACCATCTCCAGCAGAATCCCGTGCTCGTTCGCGCTATCGACCTGCAAATCAACCAACATTAATTACAATACTAACAACAACAACAACTACACCAAAAACAAATATCGAAAGCGCTATCTTTTACACGTCATGGTAAAATTATTAATTCGTGCCCATACAAAAGTGGGGGAATCTTGATGTTTCATCCACCTTTTTCCGGGGAGTTTAACTAAGATCGGAATCTTGTTCGATTAAATAAACGCTAATGGAGGAACGACGAGCGGCAGATTACCACGGCAGCACCCACGAATCTTTCAATTAACAACTGATTAAACTAATCCCGCGGGACTAATCCTAAATCATTGCCCTCCCTCTCCTGGCCTGCTCGAACCTTCCGTCGCTGCCCCTCTCCGTCTCTCCGCACAACATATTTATACAGTCTCGCGTTCTCATTCTCACAGCACAAAGAGCAAACGCGTCTGTCGTTCTGAAGCGAGAACTTTAAGGGAGGAAAACCAAGAAGAGAAATGGAGAGATACTCAGCAGCAGCGGCCATCAATCCGCACGAGGAGGCCATGAACATCCCTCCCCAGACCTACCAGCTCCACAGGTCGCTCCACTCGGTCCCCAAGGCCCCCGCGAAGCCGTGCAAGAAGCCGACCCCCCCGCAACCCCCGAACCCCACCCGGGTCTACAAGGTCGAGCCCATCAACTTCCGGGAGATCGTGCAGAAGCTCAAGGGGGCATCGTCTCAGCTGCCGCTCCCCGCCCACTGGCTCCAGGAGGCGGCCCCTCCGCCGCTCGAGCTCTGGACGCTGAACCCGGCCCGCGGTGATATCAGCAGTAATAACAATGCAGCGGCGGCAAGGGCCACCACTCCTTTATCTACCGTGTACAGGGAGCTGATGTCTGAAGGCCTCGAGAAGAAGTCTCCCCACAAGTTTGGAGATGGCTTCGAGCTGAGCTTGTCGCCGAGCTTTATTGGATGGAGCACGATTCCCATGTTGAGTCCGGGGACATTGTCTGGATTCTAGACTTCAAATAAACGAAAGTTCGATCTTTCATGAATCCACTGCCGACTGCTATGGAAAAAGATTGAGCCGTCCAGAAAAGGCCGTGGATCCGAAATGTGTTCTAACGCATACAGTGCTGTTTTTCTTTTCCTTTTTATTGACTTCGTAAATTTCTTAGGCTGTTTTGAGATGTATGAAAAAACAGCTAGTTCATCGGCTGTTATTACTTTTCTTTTGCTCGTACGATTTTTCGTATGTGGTTCTACTTCTATTCGAAACACGAGGATCATGTTTTGTTCTTGTTTTTGTTTGTCTTTTCCAGTATCGAAGATCCTTGATGATTTTTGGTAGTAAAACCACTGTCCTATTTCCATTGTAGGTACGTGGGAGAGCTGCTTCCAATATATTCAGGTTACGTTGCTTATACTAATGACTGAAGTATCCTAGAAGGCCAATATATCTCCCTCTCTTTCTTGTTTTTTTTGGTCGAGCTATAAGCTTTCTTCCCCCTCATTGCTTGCATATTGCTACGGTCCGGGCAGTTGGCCAATTCAAAGGACCGTCCGGCGTACTGCTCAGCTATTCTTAATGGGAAGTCCGCCTATTTCTTCAATGCTCCGATACTATGACGCACGGACAGTTCGTTGGATCGTTTGCAAGAAAGCAAGGATGGAAACGGGTCGTCAGAAAATGTTCTATTCACTTGTGTCAATCAACGGTACATACAGTTAGATAAATTAAAATGGGTCATAAACCTATTTCTTAACTCAAATTTGATGGGTTGAATCGTTACATGAGTTGATTATATTCATTAAATGGGTCATAAATGTATTTAAAATGGTAAAGCCCAATATAATATGGGTGTTAAATGGATTCAAAACTTACTTAGAACTAACTCATATTTCATTCTCTTTTGAGCTGAGCTTGTGGCCAAGCTTTCTCGTATGGAGCACGATTCCCATGTTGAGTCCGGAGACATTGACTGGATTCTAGACTTCAAGAAAACGAAAGTTCAATCAAGATTTAGCCGTCCAGAAAAGGCCGGGGATCCAAAATGTGTTCTAACGCAGACAGTGCTGTTTTTCTTTTCCTCTTTATTGACTTTGTAAATTTCTTAGGCTGTTTTGAGATGTATGAAGAAACAGCTAGTTCATCGGCAGTTATTACTTTTCTTTTGCTCATACGATTTTTCGTATGTGGTTCTACTTGTATTCGAAACACGAGGATCATATTTCATTCTTTATTTTTATGTCTTTTTCAGTATCGAAGATCCTTGATGATTTCTGGTAGTAAAACCACTGTCCTATATCCATTGTAGGCACGTGGGAGAGCTGCTTCCAATATATTCAGGTTACGTTGCTTATACTAATGAATGAAGTATCCGAAAAAGGCCAATGTATCTCCCTCTCTTTCTTGTTTTTTTTGGTCGAGCTATAAGTTTTCTTCCCCCTCATTGCTTGCATATTGCTACGGTCCGGGCCGTTGGCCAATACAAAGGACCGTCCGGCGTACTGCTCGGCTATTCTTAATGGGAAGTCTGCCTATTTCTTCAATGCTTCGATACTATGACGAACAGACAGTTCGTTGGATCGTTTGCAAGAAAGCAAGGATGGAAACGGGTTGTTAGAAAATGTTCTATTCACTTATATCAATCAATGGTACATATAGTTAGACCAATTAAAATGGATCATAGATCTATTTCTTAACTCAAATTTGTTGGGTTGAATCATTACATGGGTTAATTATATTCACTAAATGGATCATAAATATGTTTAGAATGGTAAAACCTCATATAATATGGGTGTTAAATGGATTCACAACTTACTTATAACTAACCCACATTTATTACTCTCTTTTGTTCTCACTCGATCTAGCGCTTACTTGCTCTAAGCTCTCACTTCAGTTTGCATATGAATTTTCCTAAATTGGATTAAATATGGAAGTGTTTTAGTAATATGGGTCCGATCAGATATGAGTCGGGTTGGGTATGAGTCATTAGATTTGTACTACATGAAAATTGATCAAAACGAGTTTAATGGATCAATTTGGGTCGGGCTATTTTTTACTCGACCCGACTCATCCGTTTGATACATCAAGGGACTATTGGGTCAACAGAGTTCGAGTAGTTGGACCCCCCGAAGAATTTTGTAGTACAAGCATTATTTATTTTAACAGGAGAAGTATATATTACAAATGCTTGAGACGAAACCATCTAAAACACAAGAAAAATAAGAGAACTATGAAAAGTGTAATCATCCGTACAAACAGACGCATGCTCAATCCAAGTAGCATAGACAATCTGCCCTGAATAAGCCTGAACCGAGGTACTCACAAGGGACTCCTGGCACCTATGCAAAATAATATTTCTAATAACGAATGGCAATGTGGAGCACATTGATGGTCTTCCCTAGGGTGAGGAAGCCTTACTCGACTAAACTTGAAAAGTGCTGGACTAAAATGGAAATTCTATAGACATTAGATAGGATATTGAGGAGACCAAACTTGTAGAGATTAAGCATCATTCATGCATGATATACTTTTCTTATGCTATTTAATGCATGAGACAACTTGCTTGCGTTCATTGGTTTATGAATCTTTGCATTTTGTTGTATGGCAAAGAATCATATCAACATGTACATAAACGTGTACAAGCAAGAACCATTTCAACATGTACATATGCATTCCCCACTATTCCTCCTCTACATTTTGTTGCACCTGAAACAATATTAAAGAGGAGGGATAAAATCAAGCAAAAAATACGGCACTTAGCTCTATTTTGGATTTGCGGCACAAATGGAATATCTGAGATTTTATCATACTGAGCCTCTCGCTTCGAGTCTTTCTCATTCTATTTGCACCCATTAGAAATAAAATAGCGAACCACCCCATCTCTTTCTTGTTGTGGTTGGCCTATTTGATGGCTAACTGGGTAGACACATTTGCAATCGGGCTCATTTCTCCCAATCAAGCCAATTCATTCGGTCGTGCAGCTAAAGTAGACGGGGCACTACGACCATTTTGGGCCTCAATTCTCTTATTACATATTGGTGGTTCAGACTCTATCACTGTCTTATCTCTGGAGGACTGTTCGCTTTGGCGATGGCACCAGCTCAGTCTCATCTTCCAAGTTGGTGCGGCCATCTATTTCTTTGTGGAGATATTTCCCAATGACAAGTCACTAGTGATCCCAACGATGTTGGTGTTTTTTGCTTGGATCATAAAGTATGCAGAGAGGTTAATAGCACTTTATCAGCCTCTTGAGGGTAAAGGAATTGATGCTCTCATAGCGCAAGTCTTCTAATGCATATAACAAGTTGGATATAGATCTCATTGTTCTAGGGGATCGATATTCTGATAAAGAAGAAGCGGAGCTTACCGAGAGCATTATGGTGAAACATGCTTACTACTTCTTTTCAGTTATGTAAGGTCTTCAACGGAGATCTCATGTTCACACATCAACAACACGAAATGAGCCACGAATATTTCCGCAAAGTTTCAGCGGTGGATGTATTGAGGTGATATTAGTCGAGCTCCATTTCATGTATGATATGCTCCACTCAAAAGCGTTGGCAATACATTCCAAGCGGAGCTACATTTTCCGCTTCATAGCTTTAACTAACGTTGCGATGGCTTTCATCCTATTCAATCGCTTGAAGAAGCATCGGCTCCCGAAATTCGATGTGGAAATTACTTATTCCCTTCTTTTCAAAGGAATTGCTCTTGATGTGATAGCTCTATTCATGCTCATTTTCTTCGATTGAACTATTGCTAGAATCAAGTGCCACAATTCATTTCTCCACAAGATGTTATCCACCACGGATCACCAAAGGAAGCTTGGATTCACCACATGTGAAGCAGAGCCTAAACCCAATGATACTTATGCGGCCTTAGATACACCGTAATATTTTGAAGATGGTCAGAATCCTCTCGACTTGCAACCTTTTATCCAAGTGCTTTCAAGAGGGTCTGAAAATGATATATAAGCATGATCAGCACTAGGGCATCATTGCTTTTTCTACTATTTGTTGTTTTCCATTTCACATGGCTGAGAAGATTATCTTTTGTTTCCATCAAAATGAGATTGATACACTCTGTGGTGGATGGAGGAACGGTAAATGGATGATTGGGAATTTGAAGTATGTGTCCAAGAATCTATAAAAAAGCTATGGATCTTTATCTTTAAGGAGGTGAGATATAAATCCAACGACGCGAACGATCCGACAGAGGTGAGGAAGATATTTGAGGCTAGAGGTGATCCGTTTCTCGAGAGTAGACTGTCGAGGGGGGGATTGACAGCGGCAATCTTTTAGTGTAAGTCACGGAGGCTAATTACGACAACAGTATTATAATGTGGCATGTTGCTATTGAAATGTGGTACAATAAAAAGAAACAATTTATGAGCCTAATAGCTAGAATTGACGAAATGGAATTTAGCAAGATCCTCTCTGACTACATGTTGTATCTTTTAATTAATCAGCCTAATGTGGTGTCCGCTACGGGGGATGTTGCCCAAATGGCATCAGCGGAGACGTTGCAAGAGCTCTATATCCTCATCGATATGGATGCGTTACTAAATGTGGAGGGGTTAATGCAAGAAATTATTTGATGCTCATTTTGGAACCTTCAGTTTGAGATCCCCCGCTCAACGAGGTGATCAATTTGGCCCAAAAGCTGGAAAGCCTCGAGGAAACGAAGTGGAAGGTGATGAACGGGGTGTGGGTTGAGATGCTATCATATGCAGCAATTCACATTAAGGGCGAGGTACAAGTGCAGGTACTTTGCAATGGTGTAGAGTTTCTTTGCCTTTGCTTGGCTATCGATGGCTCTTTTGGGTTGTATCAACAGCCTGAATGTGGCTAGTATTATGAATACTGGGATGACATATTTATCACTGTCAAAGTCTTTTATTTCCATGATCTTCTAGATCACAAGCCTTCACTAGCATATACGCGATTCAGTACGGCACTGATAATTCAACCCATTCATATTTTGTTGTATGTTTACGGATAAATTGACATGAATCTTTGTTTTTTCTACAACCTGAATGGGGCTTGTATGAATACTGGGATGACACGTTTCATCACTATGAAAGTCTTCTATATCTATAATTTTCTAGATCACAAGCCTTCACTAGCGTATATACGATTCAATACGGCACTCACGATTCAATCCGTCCATTTTTTTTTTTTTTGTGTTTACAAGTAAAATGAAGTGAAACTTTGTTGTATTCTAGTACGGAAGCTGCATTTCAATAGTTGCGTAATAATTGATATGAGATTTAGTAGCATATTCAATTTTTATGTTTGTGACTTATGTTTACCTGTAATCCCTATGCTAATAAAGTAATGGATGCCCTGTGAGAACACAGTGAATATTGCCCGATAGATCTGATCAATTGTTCTGGACAATAAACATTAGACCAAAACATGCTTAAATTTTGAGTCCAAGGAAAGGACTTTTCTGGACCAAATAGACATCTCAAATATCTCAAATCTTACTCTTTCCTTCTGGACGAGAGATGTTAAGTGAGAATGTAATGATTTATAAACTTTTTAGTGTCTATTTATCTTTAACTGAATCCGATGATATGAGGTGAATTTAAATGAGCTTACATATCGCGAACTTAGGAAGCTCTCCCTTAGGAAATTGGTTGTCATTGGCAGGATTTGATGAACGAGGAACCATGAAAGATAAAGCATTCTTTAAAGGAATCTTCGAAGTTTAGGTTAGGAGTTCTCTGCCACTTCTTGATGCAATGCACGTTAGGGTCAATTTATGAACAAACCTCTTGGTGCCAGTTTTTGTTGCTCCATACCACAGTCTATTCGGCATTTTAAGGCCAAAGTCAGGTCGAAACTCAGGTAGTCCTAGATGGAATTGCAAAGTAGAATTGAGATAGACCGATTTGACAATAAAACATCAACCCGGCACAAAGCAATAAGCATTCTCTATTCATAAGATATTTCTCTTCTACCATTTGATACATGAGATACATTGCTTGTGTTCATTGGTTCGCAACTCTTTACATTTTATTGTAAAGCAAGGAATCATCTCAACTTTTAAATTGTGTCACGAGTTTGAGCCATGTACGAAATCTTTAGAGGATTTTCTGGTTTGTTCAAAATCAGGTGTGCCCATTAATCCAAAGCGAGTATGGATTCTCTTGGGCGTTGTTCTTGGAGGTTTGACCTAGAAAGGTAATATGAGAAAAAGCTCCACTGGACCATGCCACTACAGGACAAAACAAGGGGCACCCATATTATATAAATATTTATGTTTATTTTTTGGGGGTAGAAAAGTCTTTGTATAAAAAGCTAGGGTTTTGCTTTTATTCCTCTCTCCCGCTAACTAAGACAGATAGGGCACACCCGGTGAGTCTTCGTTGGCGGAACCATCACAGCATGTGTATATACATTCCCCACTATGCCTCCCTTATATTTTTTGTATTTAAAATTATATTAGGGAGGAGCGATAAGCAAAAACATGGCATTTAGTTCATTTGGAATATGTGGAACATATGGAACATTCGAGGTTTCGTTATATTGAGCCTCTCGCTTTAGGTCTTTCTCATTCTATTTGCATCCCTTAGGAAGAAAATAACGAACCACCACATAGTTTTCCTCTCGTGGTTGGACTATTTGGTGGCTGATTGGATAGCCGCGTTTGCAATCGAGCTCATCTCTCATAACTCATGCAGTCGAAGTAGATGGAGCACTTCAAGCATTTTTGGCTTCATTTCTCTTGTTACACCTTGGCGGTCCAAACACCATCACTGCCTTTTCTCTGGAGGACAGTTCGCTTTGGAGAAGCAACCTGCTCAGTCTCGTCTTTCAAGTCGGTGCCGCCATCTATGTCTTTGTGCAATATTTCCCAACAACAAGTAGATGTTGATTCCAATGATGTTGGTGTTTCTTGCCGGAGTCATAAAAAATGTAGAGAGGTTACTAGCACTTCATATATCTATCGAGCTTCTCGAGGGTTAGGGAATCGATGCTCTCACAGCACAAATCTTTTCATGCAGATAATAAGTTACTTAAAGAACTCAATATTCTAGGAGATGGACATTCTGACGAAGAAAAAGCAAAGTTTGCCGAGAGCATTGTGGTGAGGCATGCTTACTACTTTATTTAAATCTTTACACGTTCATTGGATATCTCATGTTCGCATGTCAACAACGCGAAATGACCCATGGATATTTCTGCAAAGTATCTACAATGGATGCGTTGAGGGTGATATTGATCGAACTCCATTTCATGTATGAGATGCTCCACCAAAAAGAGTTGGCAATACGTTCGGAGTGCCCCTAGAATATTTATGTCCTGATGGGGGGACATCTATTAAAGCTTCTTTAAGAACCGGCTAAAGAACATCAAGCGCCGTATTTAGAGTACCAAGAGTACCAAGACTTGATGAACTAAGACAAAGCGTCCTCACTTGGAGCATATCAATAGTTTGAAGCATATCATCATTGTCACTTAATATAATCCTTTTGTCGTTGACCCGTGAAACCCCGATATACGTCGCGCATTTCAATTAGTGAAAATTTCGCATGAAAATTTTACAAAAAGTAGTCGGTGTGAAACTCCTGTATAACGCTACAAGTAAGCTGTTGAACTGCACAAAACCATCAGAAACTTGCACAGAAAACTTTGAACTGGAGAGACTAATTTCATTGACATTTTACAGATCTGAAGACGGAAAGCTACTCTTAAAGGCTAATTCCTAGACTCCGTCAAAGAACAACATATCGCTACTTGACCAAGTGACATGGTGCTTACAAGCCTTATTTACAAAGTACATTTCTAAGCACACTTGTCCATAGCAAACGTTACCTCACATTATAACCTTATTGGTCCAAAGTTGCTGGAGAAACGCTCGAGCTGAGACCAGATAAGGCTTCCGAGCGACAACCTTGGCTTTTCATCCCCGCTTCTGCTAATGAGGCCTGCCGACAATGGACCCCGAGGAGTACTCACTCCCGAGGACTTGTTCAAGATCGAGACCGATCCCCCGATCTCTTTCCTCACCAGTTCCACCGTGCTCAGGTTCACATTGTTCCCAGAAGCTTCGGTCACATAGAACGAACCGATGGCTCGCTCTCCGCGGATCCCTACCTCGGCCCTTGTTATCGATAGGCCGTTTTCGCGGAACACCCTGGTCACATCCGAGAGCAGGCCCGTCCGGTTTTGAGTGCTCACTTCTAACCTCAATCCCTGCAAATGAAACGAAACAAGAAATCAGGATTCAATCCACATGAGACATAAATGAGAAAGAAGAGTTGTTTGGGACATACATGTGACGCTCTGCGCTCGACCGCAGCCAGGAGGCATTGAGCGAGTTTGCGCTTCTCAGTCTCCGAATCCAGGGTGCATCCATCCTGATGCCTTATGAAATACTCCTGTATGACACCCGCAAAGTATACAATCCTTTTGTTAGCCAAAACTGTCAATGGCACATACTCATACAATGCTAGAATTCAACCTGTAGCCACATTAGTAACTTATGACCTTGTGATAATACTATAAAAGAAGACAACGACCCACTTCTGCCGAAATTGCAGAATTTATAGATCTTATTGAACTCGATACGTCTGAAACCGACGAACAGATTTTCCAAAACCAGCTTGACTAGGAACCCCATCACATCAACAAGTAAGTTCCACACTATTTTGACGATATCGTTTCAAATAATTCGTATCACATTTAACTTTCTTTACCTAATAGCTTAAACATTCAAACTCTAACTCAATTACACATTGACATGGTGGCTAACCCGCCTTATTGTCTAGAGTAATATACGGTCCAACAACATCCCATGTGTATATAAATCTTACAAACATTATCCCATTCGTGCACGACAAATTGAACATACAAGAATTTCACGATTCGCATCAAATTGGGTTAGAATTGAAGTATACCCAACATATACTTCTTCCTCGAAGTAATAACTTAAAGCTTTCTGAGGTTTGATTTTAGCTTAAATTACCTGATTAGCCGAAGAGCCCTCCGAGCTAACTGATGCGTGGAACACAACATACTGCATGTCCGTTAGGACGCACACGGTGTCGAACAACAGCTTCGGCCTGTCCCTGCTCCGCACGTTCACCACCGAGTACCCTTTGTCTTTCCAACTCTCTATCAACACGTGGGCCCTCTCGCAGCCATTCCTATGCTCGTACCCGCCCCGGCTGCCACCACCCCCGCAACCGTTGCTCCAGCAGCGGCGGCACTGCTCGTAGTCTTTGTCGGCGAACATCAGCTGGTGGAGCCGCCGTTCAGTGTGCATCCGCCCGGCCATGGGTGCCATCAGCCTCACGCTCCTCCTCTCCCCCTCGGCATGGTGGGCCTCGACCACGTTCTCCAGCTGCTCCTCTATCTGGGCCAGGCGCTCCGGGTCCGTGATGGGCCCACCCTTCACCCCATCCTCCACATAGAATATGCACGCGGCTCGTGTGTGGTGGGTCCACGCCACTACCATGGCAATATGGCACGCCAGCTCAGCCAAGACGGCCGACATTTCGGACAGTAAACCTGGTCGGTCCGTCCCCGTCATCTCTAGCACCGTGTGCTCGGAGGACACGTGATGAGGTCCGAAATGTTTCGTCTGCGATGATCCTTGTATTTCCTTGGAGAGACCCCCTCTCCTCGTCGCACACAAAGCCTGTCAAATGTCGCATTCATTCAGTTATCACAAGAGAATCGCCCTAATTCCGCTACAACATATAGCGAAAGCAAGTATAAAATCTTTCTAACCTCAAACTTGTGCAAAAAGAATTCCATGAAAATATCATCTATCATAAGTTGAATGATTGCCATATATTAGAATATAATGGACAATAACAGACTTTACTAATCCTGACATAACAAACACGTTATTTAGGTTGACCTTGTCGACCACTAGCCGAACACAGAAGTTTTGGCAAAGCCCGAACAAGGGCCAAGATGAAAGGACCCCCAAAGGTTGTCCGCTATCAAACCGTATAAATTGAGGAGAATCCTCAAAAGAAAAAGAAGCCAAGGCCAGGTGCACTTTCGTGCCTACAATTCTAGGTATGAACTTAATTTTTTTTTTCTTACCCTAAAATAATTTCAACATATAAAATCCACGAGCACTAATTATCATAGGGTGACTGCAAAATATACCACTTAAAAAACCTAGTCCTTCCCCTTCAAATGAAATTTTAGTGTCCCATCACGCTATAATTGGTGTTCGGAACCCTTAAGAGCAGATCCGATAGAACTGTTAAACCAATCAATGTCCGAGGGATCATACTATAAAGTGGGTAAAGAGCAAAATAAAGATTGATTATGATATAATAAAATACCTGTTGAATGTAAAGGATGAGGCTCTCGTCGGTGAGCTTGTTCCCGAGCTGGTCCGTCACGTGGAACACTGCACGCCATGCAAAATCAAAGCTATAATAAAAGCGAGCTTCACAGATCAAACATCTAGTCGACGAATTCGCGATCTTTGTGGGCACGCACAGCTAATAATTTACTCATATATATATATATATATATATATATATATATATATCAATCTATTTTGATAAAAAAAATGAAATCGGTGTTGATGACGTAATAAAAAAGATGGTGGGGCTGTGTTACGGACCGTCCATGAACCATCCGCCGTCCGAGGAGATGTATGACTTGGAGATGACGAGGTCGAGATCTGTCAAGACCTGGACCATCTCCAGCAGAATCCCGTGCTTGTTCGCACTATCGACCTGCAAATCAACCAACATTAATTACAATACTAACAACAACAATAACAACAACAAAAACAAATATCGAAAGCCCTATCTTTTACACGTCATGGTAAAATTATTAATTCGTGCCCATACAAAAGTGGGGGAATCTTGATGTTTCATCGACCTTTTCCCGGGGAGTTTAACTAGGATCGGAATCTTGTTCGATTAAACAAACGCTAATGGAGGAACAACAAGCGGCAGATTACCAAGGCAGCACCCACGAATCTTTCAATTAACAACTGATTAAACTAATCAACGGGACTAATCCTAAATCATGGGCAATGTCGCGGTATCTTCCTCAGTCGTTTTCACATCTGTGGGCGGGATCCTTTACCCGGCGGTACCCACCCTATTGGATCTTGCAAGGATTGTATTAAAAAATAATAACACGAAAAGCGACACCATCTCGTCATCGACCACCAAGTTGGATTAATTTTATAAATCCCTGCTCTTTCGCAGGAAAAAAAATAAAAAATAGAAAAATAATTAAATAAAAAAAAATACAGAAAAAACAGAAATAAGTTTATCAATCTAACCTTCACGAGCGTGCAGTCTCGGCAGGTCTCGTTGTCGATGCAAACCCTGCAAAAACCCAGATGAACACACTCTTAGACAAGCCCATCTTTTCAAACAATCGAGATTAACGAAGCGAAAGATGAACCGGACGGATTGAAATCACGATTAGATTAGAGAATGAATTACCTAGCGGGATAAATTCTTTCGATGAGGGAATCGTAGTCGGGATCGATGTAGGGTTGATAAGCAGCGACCTCCATATTTTGGTTCTTTGCCGATCGCCGCCGAGGTTTCTGTCGTCACGTCTGTTCACTTACATGGAAATTGTGGTGTCACTTGCGAATACATTGAACTGGATGTCGACAGTAGTATAATTAAAGCTATATAATAACAATATATATATATGAATGACAAACTAATGATAAAACGTGCAAATGGGCAAGCGATGTGTGGCTTTTTTCTTAAGTTTCAGATTTGATCGGTGCTAGAAGGGGAAATAAAAATCTCGGTCAAGCTTATCGACCCAGATATTATTACTAAATTAGGGTTGTGCACAGCTTCTTCCTTCGTTGATTAAAGAAAACGAGCCATGTTTTTGCAAGGAAATCGGCCGACCCAATTCTAAACAAAATAATATCTGGGAAGACTTTGTTCAAGGGGTCCTTTCGAGATCTAAATTAAATTTGTGAAAAACACAATGGAAATGGAGATAGCAACAGGAGAAAAATCAAAATCCATCGGAAAAATTCATGCAAGGGGTCTGAACATAGAGAGCTTCAATGAGTTCATTCCTGAAAACCTATTCCGGAATAGAGCCTGAAGGCACTGCCTGGAAATCAAAAACCAAACACGAAATGCCGAAACGCTGATCACGTTCCGCGACGGAACGATTCTACGGCTGGAATCATTAGTATCGATCCCCGTTAACTATTTAGGCGGGACAACACTGCCGCCCCCCATTGTTTTTCAAAGAATGAATTGTTAGCACCATTTCTGAAATCCCGAAAGAAAAGCATTCTTCGTACAAAATAATCCGCAGTAAATCGTAAATTTGCATATCAGAAACGCGAGATAAAGCAAAAACCAAATCAAACCATACAAGGTTAACTTCTTACGGGCAATCAACGCCGCACCTGATGGGAATCCGAAGCTCGGGGAAGGTCCGAAACGGGCACCCAAACAACGTCCTAGGAAACGGGAGGCCCCGTCTCTCTTCGCGGCGCTCCCTCTCGATCTTCAGAACGGCGTCCTCCCCGCCTCAGTTCCCCGATACGATCGGCGGCGGCGACAAGAACAACAACAGAGGGAGCGAGAGGAAGGAGCCTGATCGCACGGCACGAGATCTCCACGCAGCAGCGCCAAGACAGCCCAAACCCAGCTCGCGTACATCGCTCTTCTCTCCAACCCGAAGAGGAGGAGGAGGAAGAAGAAGAAGAAAGACGAGAGTGAGGGTGAGAACGAGAACGGGTGGATTGAGGAAACTTTAAATAATGTGCACCTGGCTCTTATATATATATGAAGTGAATGAATGAATTGGGGTGGGCGGGGCCGCGACGCTCCTCTGCGGAACCTGTCTGTTCGTATTAACTTTTTTTAAGGGCGTTTCCAACGTGGGTCGCACAGGCAAGAAGAGGGACGAGATTTTAGGGTTTCTCCGATCCCGCTGCCACGTAAGGCGGGGGGAACAAGTGGCGGGAGACAGCCCGTGTACACCCTGTCGTCGGCTGCGCTGCGGCGGCTCGCATGCTGGAGCTTCGCGGGACACGTGTGGGCTAAGGGAGGGACGTGGGGGGGATCTTTGTGTGGTCGTGAAGGAAACCCTTGTTTCGAGGGAGGGCTTTCGGAGGTTTCCTTCGTTTCTTCCTCCTTGAGTTTTGGCGGGGAAGGAAGGCCACGCTCTGGACCTTTTTACCAAGTCAAATTCGTGACATGGAGGATCGATCCCTTGGACCGCGGGAATCGGATTGAATATCCCCAAGACAGATCGGTGTGCGAAATCAACAGCTAGGTTCGCGGGAACTGACGGTTCGTATCGCCTTTTAATTTGAGAGCGCGAATGATTGCAAAAAAAGAATGTTCTTTTTATCGATAAGGAGCGTGCACCGATGCTTTGAATCTTAAATGTCCGGTTCGAAAGGGTCGGTCACTGGTAGATTATTTTAAGTTTCTTTTTATATTTGTTAATCAAATATTAAATCATATTTATCTAATAGTTTAAACTTTTAGAATAGTTGACAGCGGTCCCGCCAAATCTCATATGGTATCGGAGCTGGAAGTCATCAGTTCAAATATTTTCAGGCCTCATTTATCTTCCCAATTAAATATGTCCACGTTTACTACTCGGCGAAATGACCCGACTAAGCGTGAAGAGGAGTATTAGAATAATTAAATATTAAATCACGTCTTCATCTAATAACTTAAACTTTTAAAATAGTTGGCAGTAATCCCACCAAATCTCACAATACGTATTCTCTGAGTCATTTTTTTCACTTTTGAAACAAATTCTAATACAAAAGGTATGCATTGATGAGTAAACTCTAATCAATTTTATTATATCTAAACGGAATAGATTCCAGAATTGTCGCAAATTAATTTGGTGCTTACAGATTAAGCCCCTAAACGTCCATTTTTCATATCTATGATGTGGCGAAATTATTTATAATTTTTTTAATTTTTTTTAATTTAATTTTTTTTAATTTTTTTAGGGGGTTGTTTTTTTTTTTTTTTATTGTTTTTGTTTTTTTTTTTTTTACAAAACAAACAGAGCCTAGCCTAATGTAGTTTGAACTAATTAGTTTTCAGTATGAACTCCTTAGATTTTAATTTTATATGCCACGTATTTAACCCATAAGAATTTTAAAAGCCCAAATTGTCAAAAATATGTCCAAAATTGAAACCCAAAAGAACTCATAACCAGCCCATGGTCCACCACAAATCAAATAATATAAGTAAAACTCTCACAAAAAGGAAAAAAAGAAGAAGAAGAAACTTCTATGCAATCGAATGGGAAATCGGTTGATCGATGGTCATTTCGTCACTTACATTGAAATGATCTATGGTGCCCAAAAGACTATAAGCGATTACGTGACGCTTTTCAATTAAAACATGAAAAGCCGAAGACGATCCTAACTATCCCCCAACTTTGTATAATCGACTTAATGTTCGCCTCCGACAAACATTCCGACCAATTTTGGCTGGAAGCCGGAGCGAGCGACTTCACGCGACATTCTGGATTCAACATATCGAGGGTTAAATAGTCCGCCAACTCGTTTCTTTTTTCACTCCATTAGAAAAAAGGCCGATCGATCGAAATGGATCGAGCGCTAACCCTAGAACCGCCCGCCTCTCTATCCAATTTGGGTTTTCAGAAAAGATCGACCAGAGTTTCAATCGCGACTGAGAAATTCGGGACGGGGAAAATGAACGATCTCCGTGATGAAGACTTTGTGGACAACTACAAACCCTAATGAGCGATTTCTGACTTGTGACCAAAACCTGGTGTGTTTGATTATCGTTCGAACACCATGAAAATGTTTGTGGTTGTACTGTCCATGCACAACGAAAAGAAAGATAAACAAAGGAGGCCGTCGTCACCTGCCGTCCAAGCGCGCCGGCCGGCATCTTCGATCGCCGGTTCTTTGACGTTTGTTGCGGTTTCGATGCATGCGGCCTCTTGTGTCTCTACTTCATGCCTCTGCAGGGGCAAATTTTTTTTCGATCTCGGTGCAAGAATTGGGTGCGCCGGATCATGTAAGCCCAATTACATTTAGTATATTAGATCATGCAGATCTCGCACGAGACTCACCTCATCTGACGGTACATGTGAGTTGGCTCACACGCATCGAGTGCAGCTTAAATTTTTTTTGAAAGACGGGCTCCGCCTCCTCCATCTTTCCATCTTTTGATTGATTTGGGATTATGACACTAGAAATCCTAAAATTTGTGTTGGTTGGGCACTTTCATTATAAAACATTGTTTCGTGCATTTAAGTCCTTAAACTTGTACATTTTATGGATTTTCGAAATTTCTGTTAGATCTATTTGTTATTTTGTAGGCTGAAAATGACAAATGCTTTTTTTTTAATTTTTTATTCTTTGGGTCCTCCGTGACTTTTTGATAAGAAAAACAACATGCCCCATAAATTTTCCATCCACCAAAGACAGATGGATGAGTCTCACGAGAAATGGTTTAGGACTAAAGAGCCGATCTCACATAAGTTTTATGACTCTCGGTGTCATTATTCTATTCAATTTTTTATTTTATTTGAAAGATAGATAAATCAATGAAATAAAGTGAAATGACGTGAAAGCCACGTCACGTATTGTCGTCCGTGTTGATTGCCATATGAGGTTTTGGAAGACAATTTTGGCGAAAAAACTTTAACACATGTGTTTTTGTCCAATGGGCCAGCTGTACATTTTCTTTTTTGAGACACTTGCAAGTGCCCCATGAGAAAAGTTGTGATTTTTGGGAATTTGATCCTAAAGTTTGTGCAAATTTATTTTTTTTGTTTTTGTTTTTGTCGTAATCGTGAAAGAATTTTGAGTTTTGCATTTTGGAATGATTCCGAGATTCTCGTTAGAAAATCATTAGATCTTGAGACAGGTCTATTTCCGTTAATAAGTAACCAAAACTCGAACTAACTATATGATTAAAAGAATCGTTTCTCTTCAAAATTATGCTATATTAGTTAGGTAATTATGACATTTATGTATAAATTAATGTATTATCGTTCAAAATCAACGAAAGTGTTAATGGGCAAGAGTACAAGAGTGGCTTGAGTGCCCCTTTCCCCCTCCCCTTCATTTTCCTCAAACTCAATTTGCAAGAAAACAAAAAAAGTGTTGATGGGCATCTTCAGATGATTGTCCTGCCTCTCGAAAGTTGCAAAAATGAAGTGCTTTTCAACCTTTGAAAATTCGAGTGAAAGCATCAATCGTTTCGTTCATATGATACAACGTGCTTCAGACTTTTCCACAATTTTGAAAACAATTTGCCATTGCTGACTTTTACAAGTAGGTCATCAATGTCGGCCAAGAAAAAAAAAATTTCGAAACCAAATTATTATAAGACGAACTGGGCGGCGGGGGCCGCTCATAAGCCTTTTGAAGAGATTTATGAGGCGGCGGTCAAAGGGGTAAAAAATATAATACCTTTTCTTAGTTGATAATTCCCTAACGTTAGATCAATCAACACCACTATTGAAAACATGAACTTGAACTTTTCTAATCTACCGAAATTACTTAATTACGAGACGGGTTTGTATATATATGATATACTTGCCGCGTCAGTTACTTTTTGATAAGGGCAGGGCATGCAGTATCAAGCGTGACTCGTCCACGGAGCGAGAACACGGCACGCGATGTATTCGGGATACAGAGCATAGTCTCAAATGTGATACGATTCGGCAGGCATAAAATCGTGTAGTTTCGTCATAAGCCGCTTACTCGATACATTTAAATGAAAGTTAGGGTTAATACCATGAAAAAAGTACATATGTGATAAATTTAGCTAAACTAATATTTTACCATCAAAAACCCCAAACAGATAAATATGCGATAAATTTATCCTAAATTCATTTTTTTATCACAAAAAACTCCAAACTGGCACATTTATTACAAATTCACTCTCCGTTAAATTGGATTAATACCACTAAAAATCATAAATCGACACACATATAAAATTCCAAACGGGTACTCCCGATCAACTGCCACGTATTATCCAATTCAGAAATTTGACTGTAAAATTAAACGAAAACTAGCGAAAGATAAAATTGACACCGATATATCAGTTTGAGATTTTTGATGATCAAATAATTAATTTAAATTAAATTTATTGTAAGTGTACTAATTTGGAGTTTGCCGTGGTTTTAATCCTAAGAGTTGTAATGTTCAAATATTAATAGGAGTGGACACGAATTGTAAACGAGATGATGTCGGCCCTACTTACTTAGGTGGGTCCCCTTCAATTTAATATCCTATCCTGTTTCTCATACTACGAAGTAGTAGTTATAGCATTCATTCAAAGCTGGGGCCACCCTTCCTGATTTCCATTCCCGAAGGAGAAAGGTTTCACCGAAACTGAAGCTGTGATCTGCACGAAACCCACCCGCACAAACCGAACTCGTTTTGGCTTTTGCCCATTTGCAAGCAACGCTCAGCAACTTCCCCACCACCACCACCACCACCTCCAAGTCCAGCAGGTTGTCTCTCCTCTGTTCTCTCTCCTGGCACAGGTTCTTCGCTCCCATTCGTTCTTATCCACGCCTTATCCATTCTCGCTTGTTCTTGGGCTCGCCCGCTTTTGTATGAATTGTTTAACCATAATTATATATATATATATATATATATATATATATATATATATATATATATATATAGATTGCCAAACCCCAGTTGGCCTTTTTGTCCCCCCCCCTGAGAGAAGTTTTCTGGAAAGTTCGTGTGAATAAGCAAGAAAGCCCGAGCAAGTAGGTTACAAAAGGGTTCTTTTTGAAGTGATTCCTGCAGTTTTGGACCCCCAATTGAACAACGTAGGATACCCTCTTGGGTGTAGTCCGGATTCGTTCAGTTTGGTGTGTGTTAATTAGGGGACTCTGTTTTTGTGAGGGGGGGAATTGGGGTTCTGGTTAGCAGGCCGGGTGGTCATTCGATCCCGTGTTTCATGGATGCGAGATTGGTGAAGTCGGGCATCGATTTCACGCGGAGGAGGAAGAGGTGGATTCTCGCGGTTGCGGCTCTAGCGTTTTCTGGTTATGGCGCGTACAGGGTGTATAGCTCGCCCGCAGTTGCTCGGAAGAGGAGGAGGTTCTTGAAGCTCGTGGAGGCTTTGGTTTCATTGGCCGAGGCAGTGTCCGAATCCACCGAGACGATTGTGCTCGTCTCAAAAGATTTGAAGGAGTTTCTGAGGTCTGACTCCGATGAGGTCCCCAATAGCTTGAAGCAAATTTCGAAGATCGCAAAGTCAACCGAGTTCTCAGATTCGATAACTGAGGTATCCAGGGCTTTGACTGTGGGTGCTATGCGTGGTTATAGGTCTGAGTCTAAGGACAATGTCCACGGAAATGGTGGGAATTCGGGTTTCGTGGATCAGGTTCTCGATAAGCTTTTTACGCCTGCGGGGTCTGGCTTTGCATCTGTTGTGGTAGGCAGTCTAGCCAGGAACTTGGTCATGGCTATTCATGCTGATATGCGTTCTAGTCGGCAATCAGGGGACGGTAGCAATCATTTTACCATGGAAGGGAGTTCTGTCCCGAGATGGCTAAATGTGCTGTGCGATGACAAGGTCAAGGATTTTGTTGGCGATTGCATTCAGCTGTTTGTGAGCACTGCAGTCACTATTTATTTGGAAAAGACAATGGAGATTAACACCTGTGATGAGCTTTTCTCTGGGTTGACAAATCCAAAGCATAAGAAGGAAGTGAGAGAGATGTTGGTATCTGTTTGTAATGGTGTGGTCGAGACTCTGGTGAAAACATCTCACCAAGTGCTAAAAAGTTCCAAATCGAATGCTAATTCGTATTCAGGTTCTCCCTGTTCAGCTATAGAGGGAAGCAAAGGATTGAGATTTAATGGAATGGATTGGAAGCAAGGGGTGTTGAGTCATAAGAGTCCAACAGATTCATACGGTCTTGGTAAGGACAGTGGGTGGGTCAATAAAGTGTCGTCCACTTTGGCCGTCCCTAGCAATCGAAGGCTTGTTCTCGATGTGACTGGGAAGGTTACATTCGAAACGGTGAGATCTCTCTTGGAGTATTTGATGGAGAAACTCCATGATGGTATGAGACAGAGCGTTGGCGTCGTTCACAAGGAAGTTCTTGACAGGGGTGTCGAAGTCGTGAGATATGTTACGGCAAAGTCATCCATCATAACCACCATTTGTCTTTCTTTGTGCTTGCATATGCTGGATGGTGCTTCAATTTTGGCACCATTTTAACTGGGCAAATCTATTCTCTTGATCAGCTCGGTCATCCAATATATTTCTTCTTAAATCTGAACCTTGGGAGAGCGACCCGTAAGTGTCTTCTGTGGTTTGTTCATCCAGTTTTAGTTGATCTGCCTTCTCTGCATACGAAGTTTGTTTGGGTAGATCAAGGCTCGCTATTTAATTTGGGTCTATCATGGATGGGAAACAAGTTTATTGACACTCCTGTGCAGCTAGATGGCTCGGAACCCTCCATGTTTCTCGGGTCACTTTGCTTTCAGATGGTTCTTTTTCAATGATTACTTTTTAAGAACAGATTGTATTGTTTGAATGAAGGTGAGAAAAGGGGGGAAAGGGGCAAGTGAAGCATATGCGTCATGTTGTTGTATCATAACTTTTGGAGATTTTGAACAGTGGTTGATCACTGGGACCAAATTCCTTACTGTAAAAAGTTCGTGAAATACCAATTCTTTCCACTGTACTAGTACTTGGATTTTCTTGCATCTTCGTTGCTTAAGTTGTCAGTTTCGCTAACTGGTACGTTTATAGTTAACTAGAACATTTGCAAATGTAAATCACTGGGATGCGCAACATGTACATTTTACATAATTGCGACGTTGTTTTCTCAGCTAAAGTTAATTGGTAGTTTTTCAGCGTGAACTTGTTTCGCGTATATGGCTAGGTGGATTTCTTTTTCCTTGTCTGGCAGCGGACATAGTTATGTGGCTGTCTATTGATTTTGTGAGGTTTGGGTAAGCCGGGGACAACCAACTTGCGGTTGTGTAACAAAAATTTAATTAGAATCAGCTTAGAAGGTCTATTCTTCAGCCTATCTGCAGTAATTGTCGTGCTGAAGTACAGAAGAGAACATAGTTGGGGTAATATTGAATGGAGACTTCATTACCTATAGACTCTCCGCAGGTCATATTATACCTGACAATATCATTATAGTTTGGCTGAACCTGCATCAGCTTGCTTTATCACCAAAATATGGAACTACAAATGATACATGTTGAAAGGTACTTCTCGTTACACGACTTTTGTCAATTTAATTAAGACCAATCAACAAAGAAACTTTACACTTCCACACCATCAGTTTCCAGTAAGTCCCTCCCAATGCGGCTTAGGAAGTGCATCGACGCAAAATAGCACCGATAATTGCTGTCCTCAAGAAAGAAAAAAATCTTCAGAACACTTGCCATGGGTTAAGATTAAATGGAGGCACGCATCCTCTACTCGTTCTTAGCTTCAGGTCATTTTCTGTGCCTTGCTGAAGAGTCATCCGATACTCCAGCCAAGTGAAAGGTCAGCCAGAACCCGAAAAGCTGGTTCAAACCCTAGTAGCTCAGCTTCTCTGGAAGCTATGACATGGTGCAAGCTAAGATGAGCTGCCATCAGTTCCCTTCGCAGCTGCCTCTTCCTCGAGCTTCTTTTTCCAGTACTCATCAAGAGGAGGTCCAAATATTGCTTTGCCAGAGACAACTCCTATCCTGTAGAGCCATAGCATTTGCACACCATCAGCCTTGAAAAAATGAGATATTTCGTATTTGACATTGGGTAATATCAATTTAACAGCAGGAAGAGAAATTTTTCAGCAATCGGGACAGTGGATGTTAAGGACACGATTCTCCACTTTTCATATTTGTCAATGGGTGAGAATAGTCCATCATCAATACTTTACTGACAAGACGTTAATAGAGAAGAAAATTAGAAAACAGAACTTAGTATCCTAATGATATGCACTCTTAACCTTCCGATCAACGTTATAGCCTAAACCCAAGCATTCTCCCAAACAACCTGATTCTCACCTATGGATTCATTTCTACTTTTAATTATACAAGATTTGCAGAATCTGTAGGACAAAATTGACTTCCAGTTAGTCGCCACATGAAGCCTTGCAGATAAGCATATAATCATTGCAACCTCAGAATTAGGTCTACTTATTATCATCCAACTGAAAGATCTATGAGTCACCTCACTAACCCCTCATTTATCCATAGTAACTTCCTGATGATGCTGGCCAAAGCAAAGAAAAAAAAAAGGAAACATACTAATGATGCACTATGAGTGCGTGCCATTAAGAAAACCAAAGCAAAGAACAATTAGCTATCTGGCAAACAATAGACGAAAGCAAAAGAGAAGATGGAAGTGGATAAAGGAAGCCAGGCCATGCAAGTTTATATCATCAGTCAATGAGACTACGAGGGACTAATTGTTTAACTAATTAATTAAAAGGATCCAGGAAATATGCAACATTTGAATGATTTAGAAAAGCCAAAGATAGCAGAAGTGCCAAAACAATCCAGAGTCAGATATGTGGTTGATCTGGTAGACACACTGAAGAGAGTAACTCCCTGTCCATCTCTGGCACTTCCGTGACTTCTATGAAGAAGTAACTGACAAAGAAATTGAAGTCAGGCTATTGTAGTTATGGCACACTACAATACAATATCCCAATATGATCTATAAGCCATGATCCACCATAAGAGTAAAGGGAATAGATTGAGAACTGTTAATTTCACGAGCTATTTGATCAAGAGTTATGATAATAATGTATCTTTGAGAAAGTAAAGAAGCTTCTAAGGTCATTTGATCAATGGTACCGCAATGATTAATCTAGTAGGAACTCATGCCGTCACAACTAAAGAGGAGAAGGGTATAGAAGAGGTAGGACCAAGCGAAAGCCGGAAGAGTAGAGCAACAGTTCAACACCAATCAGCACTAAGCTTATACATGTAGAAGGGTGTGAAATAAAGGAACAAAGTTGCACAACCGATGCTCCATGAGGACTTAATGGACGGTAACCTCGCGAGAAACAAAAGCATGCCAAATAGCAAAAGGACTATAGATGTTTAGTTTTGTACCATTAGTTCTGTCTACGTAATGGATGAAGGCATGAGCTTTTTGGGGTGTCAATAGACTCTATACAAGAATGCTCCTTGCATATGACATAGTAGTGACAGTGGGTTGAAAACTTGAAACTATGAAATTACGAACTTTAACTTACAAGGAAATTTTCTAATAATTCTCATTTAAATATGCAGGAATCTAGTTGAAGGGAATGCACATATAATAAGGGAAGATATCTAAATGAAGTAGACACAACTCATAAGAAGATTTTCCCAAGACTCGGCCAGTACTCTTCCACTAAACATGCAGAATAATCTGCCTTCTTCACGTAAGATGTTTGTAGAATATGGTATATTGGGACTTCTGTCACAAAGCTGTTAAGAGTATTCGTAAGGTTCTGTATGCTTAATGGATACTCCACCTTTCACATAAAATTTTCTAGATCGAACTGACCAAGTAGACTGTAGGAGCAGAATGCCCGTGTTCTAGATTAGCATCTAAGATGGAAGGGTCTTTGTAATCTATCAGCTGCAGAGAACAGAACAGCAAGTGCGCGTAACGTTACAGTTGCGCTGCACATTTCTCAAAGGAAGCACCTGCAAGACTCTCACGCTACCGACTCGCTCGTTATACTTTTCCCTGAACAAATTACGAACGGTCCACCGCACAACAAGCTCCTGTCTTGAAACGCCCACGATCGACATGCACACAGCTGCTTCCTACTAATTATACCACATCTGCAGCTCAGTTAATTTAGTTGGGGGCATTTTCCTTCTTACTAATGCGAAATATTTCTCCAAAATCACCACAACTAGTTCCTGATCAAAGAACATTACCCCACAATGCGAAAACCACTTACTTTCCACCAAATCTCAATACGTTCCAAGTAGCTCCAAAGTCAAAGGATTCACGCTTCCTTCAGTACCTATACAGAATTTGCCCTGCTAAAAGCTGTCACGACACCACCTCTTTCCCAATTGCACCCATGAGGCCATAATTCAATGCATTTACTAACCAGCCACAAGTATCACCCGTAAATTCCTAGATTTCAAGATTGTCAGTACAAGATAGCGCCAGCAAAATAGTCAAGCGTAGAGAGAGAGAGAGAGAGAGAGATCAGCAATACAATTTCTAAGCTCGAAGAACGCGTTAAGGCATTGCGCCAAACCCTACTGAATATCAAAGAAGCAAACATCGGCACGTTTCGAAGCTCATCTGAGCTCGTTTGAGCGCACGGATTAAGGGATTGCGAAAGAAGAGAACAGGGATCACAGAAAGAACGAGGGGCGAAGGATAGGGGAGGAACTCACACGACGGCTCCGATCACCGTCGGGAACGACAGGAACCGGCTCCGGCCAAACATGGTCTCCTCGTCGCGCGATCTCACTTCGTCTTCCTCTCTGTTCTGCGAATTCTTGGGATTAGCTGCAATTTAAGGGTTTTGTCATACGTCAGTTGCAGAGGTTTTGGTTTTAGGAAAAGCAGCTCTCCTTTTACCCGATTTTGCACTTGTTTTTGGGATTTTGGCACAAAATACCATAGAATTGAATGAGAAGTGTGTGGTTGAAAGTGTCCCACATAGGGTGAAGAGAGATAGGAGATGGGTTCAAATAGTTGAGCCTCACAAATGGGTTTGGGCGAGAATGCCACTTTTGTGGAAGAGAGAGGACCTACGTCTAGCTAGGTCGGTCCACCCCCGGCGCCGCCGCCGTCCGTCCGGCCGGGTCCACTCTCTATCGGTTTTTTATTTTTCGAACAGACACGTTGTTTAGAAATTATTTATTTATTTATTTATTTTTGGACAAACAAACATGCTCATTCGTGAGGTTGCGTCGCCGAACGAAAACCGAAGCCCTTCGCGCTGCTCACGAACCAAACCGGTTTAAGGCTCGGCTCGTGGATCACACATGACCGAACGAAATTGTTCGGTTGGTGACTCTTCGGTTTCATCCTTCTATATCCGAAATTCCTTGGTGACTATTCATTCATACATGACCGAACGAAGTACTCTTGGCATTTCATTTTTTCGCGGCTTTATGCGCTCTCATTCTTCATCGCCGTCATCTTTTGTGCGATTATTCGCAAGTTGCGTTCGAAGATTTCCTTTGAAGAAGTACCGCTTCATAGGAAAGGCGATCCGTTCTATCCTGGGAGGCAATTGTTCAACGACCTTTGGGTACCGGTAGAGGGGACAAATTGTCTTAAGGACACAACGTGAATTCGTTGGGCTCGGATCAAACGTCAAATTCGGATCACTCATTTCAGGTTTGTCAAACAACTTTACTTTATATGTACATACAAACACGCGTATATTGAACAACAATCTTAAGACAATTTGCCTTATTATCGTGTTTGTTCAGTTACGTTCTCAATCATTTCTGTCTTCGTGTCAGAAATGGCTACAACATCGACGACGCCTGTTGCGTCTGTTCCAACTCATGGAGAGAAGCCGGAAAAGTTCAATGGGGCTGATTTTAAGAGATGGCAACAGAAGATGTTGTTCTACCTCACTACATTGAACTTGGCAAGGTTCCTCACGGAGGATGCTCCGAAGTTGGATGAAGGAGAGACAAACAAGGAAAAGGTTGCTGCTATTGATGCATGGAAACATTCGATTTTCTCGTGTCGCAACTACGTCCTCAATGGTCTAGACAATTCCCTCTACAACGTTTATAGTCCGCTAAAAACGGCTAAGGAGTTGTGGGAGAGTTTGGACAAGAAATACAAAACGGAAGATCTTTGGATTGAAGAAATTCATCGTCGGCAAATTTCTGGACTTCAAGATGGTAGATTCTAAAACTGTCTTAAGTCAAGTTCAAGAACTTCAAGTGATCACGCATGACATTCATGCTGAAGGTATGATGATTAGTGAATCATTTCAAGTGGCTGCTTTCATTGAAAAGTTACCGCCGTCTTGGAAAGATTTCAAGAATTATCTCAAACACAAGAGAAAGGAATTATCACTTGAAGATTTAATTGTTCGATTGAGGATAGAGGAAGACAATAGGAATTCCGAGAAGAAAGTTGGCAGCAATTTGGCGGTCTCAAGAGCCAATGTTGTTGAAGAAGGATCAAAACCCAACAAGAAGAGGAAAATGCCTAGCAAGTCCTGGAGAGGGATTCACCCAAGGCCTGAAGAAGTTCGTTGGCAAGTGCTTCAACTGTGGCAAGTCTGGACATCGAGCCAAAGACTGCAGAGCCAAGAAAAGACAGAAAACTCAGGCTAATGTGGTGGAACAAATTTCCAATGGTGTTGATGATATCAATCTAACTGCTATGATATCCGAGTGCAACACGGTGGGAAACCCCAAAGAATGGTGGATTGATACTGGAGCAACTCGTCATATTTGCGCCAATAAATCAATGTTCTCATCTTACATGCCTATGGAAGGTGATGAAAAACTCTATATGGGTAATTCATCAACCTCTAAGGTTGAAGGTGTCGGAAAGATTGCTCTAAAGATGACCTCTGGGAAAGTTGTGACTCTAAACAATGTGCTACATGTGCCAGACATACGCAAGAATTTAGTGTCCGGATCTCTTCTCGGCAAGAATGGTTTCAAGTTGGTGTTTGTGTCTGATAAGTTTGTACTCTCTAAGAATGAGATGTATGTAGGAAAGGGTTATCTTAGTGATGGTCTTTTCAAGTTGAATGTAATGACTGTTGTACCCAATGATGTTATGAATAAAGTTGTTTCCGCTTATGTGCTTGAGTCTCCTAATTTATGGCATGCTAGATTAGGACACGTTAACTATAAGTCGATAAAGAAGTTAATGAACATGGGTTTATTGCCAAAATTCGATTGTTCAAGTGAGAAATGCCAAGTGTGTGTTGAATCTAAATTTTCTAAGCCTCCGTTTCATTCTATAGACAATAGAGTCTCAGAACCTTTAGATTTAATACACACAGATATATGTGATATGAAATCAATACCGTCAAGAGGTGGTAATAAGTATTTTATCACATTTATAGATGACTGCTCGAGGTATTGTTATGTTTATTTGCTTAGTAGCAAAGATGAGGCGGTGAATGCTTTTAGAATTTATAAGTCCGAAGTTGAAACTCAGTTGAATAAGAAAGTTAAAATGATAAGAAGTGACAGAGGAGGTGAATATGAATTTCCTTTTGAGGAAATTTGTGCTGAGTTTGGTATCGTTCACCAAATGACTCCTCCTTATACGCCGCAATCTAATGGAGTGGCGGAAAGGAAAAACCGGTCTTTAAAGGAAACAATGAATGCATTGTTGAATAGTTCCGGTTTACCACAGAATTTGTGGGGGAAAGCTGTTTTGACGGCGAATTTTATTTTAAATAGAGTACCCCACAGAAAGACACAACAAACTCCTTATGAGAAATGGAAAGGCAGAATGCCTAACTTGAATTATCTCAAAGTGTGGGGGTGTTTGGCTAAAGTTGCGGTTCCTAAGCCTAAAAAGGTTAAGATAGGACCAAAGACCGTTGACTGTGTCTTTATTGGATATGCTCAGAATAGCAATGCATATCGTTTTCTTGTTCACAAGTCAGAGATCCCAGATATACATGTTAATACGATTATTGAATCAAGGGACGTTTCGTTCTTTGAAAATATATTTCCGTATAACATAGTATATGAGCCAATTGATAATAACAAGAGGCCTCGAGATACCATATCTAGAAGTGATCCAATGGAGGATGAACCTAGACGTAGTAAAAGACAAAGGACTTCCACGTCTTTTGGACCTGATTTCTTAACGTATCTGTTAGAGAATGAGCCTCGGACATTCAAAGAAGCTGTGACTTCGCCAGAAGCCCCGTTCTGGAAAGAAGCTATCAATAGTGAAGTTGAATCCATCTTGTCAAACCATACATGGGAATTGGTTGACCTTCCTCCTGGGAATAAACCACTACAATGTAAGTGGATTTTCAAGAGGAAAATGAAAGCGGATTGTGCTATTGATAAATATAAGGCTAGGCTTGTAGTAAAAGGATACAAGCAACGAGAAGGTCTTGATTATTTTGATACTTACTCACCTGTTACTAGAATTACATCTATAAGGATGCTAATTGCCATAGCAGCGGTGTATAAGCTTGAAATCCATCAAATGGATGTTAAGACGGCCTTCTTAAACGGGGATTTGGAAGAAGAAATATATTTGGAACAACCCGAAGGGTTCATTGTTCCAAGTCAAGAGAAGAAAGTATGTCGGCTTATCAAGTCACTCTATGGATTGAAACAAGCACCGAAACAATGGCATGCTAAATTCGACCAAGTCATGTTGTCGAATGGTTTCAATATCAATGAGTGTGATAAATGTGTATATGTTAAGAACACTCATAATGGTTTTGCCATTTTGTGCTTATATGTAGACGACATGCTTATAATGGGCAGCGATAGTGAGGTTGTTAAGGTGACCAAACGCATGCTCACAAGTAAATTTGATATGAAAGATATGGGGATTGCAGATGTTATTTTGGGAGTTAAAATCCATAAAACATATGGAGGATTAGCTCTATCACAATCCCATTATATTGAGACGATTCTTGGAAAGTGCAAGAATCTAGATATTGTACCGGTAAAGACTCCGATAGATGTTAATTTACATCTTTCGAAGAATACTTGGTGAAAGTAAGGCTCAAAATGAGTATGCTAGTATACTAGGCAGTTTAATGTATGTCATGAATCGTACTAGGCCGGACATAGCTTGTGCGGTTAGCAAGCTAAGTCGATTCTGATTAGTCCAAATGAAAATCATTGGAAAGCAATGAAACGTTTATTGGGCTACTTAAAGCATACTCAAGATTACGCTTTGCATTACACAGAATATCCAGCGGTACTTGAAGGATACTGTGATGCAAATTGGATAACCGGCACTAAAGACACAAAATCGACAAGTGGATATGTATTCACACTTGGGGGAGCGGCAGTGTCTTGGAAATCATCCAAACAAACTTGTATTGCTAGATCCACTATGGAATCAGAATTTATTGCTTTGGATAAAGCCGGTGAAGAAGCAGAGTGGCTTCGAAATTTCTTGGAAGACATTCCTAATTGGCCTAAACCAGTGCCCGCTGTTTGTATACATTGTGACAGTCAAGCGGCAATAGGAAGGGCAAGGAATGTCATGTATAACGGTAAGTCTCGACACATACGTCGAAGACATGACACAGTAAGACAACTTCTTTCTAGTGGAATTATCACCGTTGACTATGTGAAGTCAAAAGATAATATTGCGGATCCATTGACAAAAGGCCTAACTAGAGAGATGGTTGCAAAAACATCAAGGGGAATGGGTTTAAGGCCTATAAACAAGTCATCATAGCGGAAACCCTACCTAGTTGATTGGAGATCCCAAGATCTAGGTTCAAAGGGACAACTAAGTTATGAAGACAGTAGAGTAATCTTGTCAAATTTTTACTCATTCCCGGATGAAGACAGTACTAATATGTGAAGGTTAAGCAAAAGCTTTTAATGATT